ATACGGACTTGTATGTGACCCCTTGATACCGGACAGTTCTTTCAAATGTGTAATAGTCTATTTTCGAACTCCCTCCCTAAATCGTGATGAAGTTTTTCTGGAAAGCCAAACCTAAGGCAAAAAAATCATTAAACAGTCTGTCTGCCACAGTCTTTGCAGATTTGTTAGTTGTTGCATATGCTTGAGCAAAGCGAGTATAATGGTCCATGACCACAAGAATATACTCACAACCACCCTTACATTGCTCAAGGTGCAGAAAATCTACCGACACTAGTTGGAATGGGTGAGTACTTTCAATGTTTTGTAATGGGGCACGTGTTTGTCTATTTGGTTTTCTTTTCTTTAAGCACTCACAAACATTCATGACAAAATGCTCAATGTCTCTTTGCATTTTGGGCCAAAAGAAACGATCTCTAATAAGATGGAGTGTCCTTTCCGAGCCCAAGTGGCCCATTTGTTTGTGTGTAGTTCATTTAGGACAAGAGGGTGGTACACTGCAGGGAGAACCAGTTGGTTTTTGAGCTGAGTTTTTTCTGAACAGAGTCCCATCCTCCCTGATGTGAAGCTTGCCCCACTCTCTGACCAATGCCTTAAACTCAGAGCTTTCATTTTTTAATTCGTGTGCAACAGGTTTCTTGTTTTGTTTTATGTGACTGTACACTTTACCTATTACAGGGTCTTTTTTGCTGCGCCACACAGATCTCCTCTCTAGGTAATGGCTGAATAGTGTCCAAAAGTCTCTCGGCTTCAGACTGCTGCTGGAGAGCCTCAAAAGAAACAGCACTGAATATGAGAGCCTGCTCTGCTTGTTGTACTAGGACGCTCTGCTGTGTGGCTGTTACAACATCTTTACTGACTGTCTGTGTACAGTGACTCATATAGTCCTGAAAGTCTAAAGGCATTCGGGATAACCCATCTGCGTCTGCATTTGTTTTGCCTGGTCTGTATTTTATGGTAAAATTGAAATCTGCTAATTCAGCTACCCAACGCTGACCAGACGCATTCAGTTTTTGCTGTAGTCAACACATAAGTTAGCGGGTTATTGTCTGTATAAACCACAAAAGATGGCGCATGAAACAAATAATCTCTGAAGCGCTCACAAATAGCCCACTTAAGTGCTAAAAACTCTAATTTGCCTGCATGCATGTGGTAGTTTTTCTCTGGTGGTGTCAAAGTTCTGGAGCCATAGGCTATTACTCTTAGTTTACCATTGCTACGCTGGTAGAGCACAGCACCTAACCCTGCCTGAGAAGCGTCGGTATGCAACACAAAGGGTTGATTCAGATCTGGGTACCCTAGGATAGGAGGATTAGACAGTTTATCAACTAGGTAACATAAAACTTGATGATGAGTGTCAGTCCATTTAACTGGGGCAGAAGAGGGCAACTGTCCTCGAGTCAGTTTGTTTTCCCCTTTTTAGTCTTTACATTATGTTGGTTTTGGGCAGGCTGGGCTGCTAGCAGTTCATACAAAGGCTTGGCAAAACGAGAAAAGTCTTGTATATAGGGTCTATAATAAGACAAGAACCCCCAGTATTTGTCTCAACTCACCCACTGTGCTAGGCTGTTTTTCTTTCAATGACAGCACAGGGGCGACCTCTGCTGGGTCCATGCTGTGGCCCTCTTTTGACACAATCCTGCCTAAAAACCTGACCCTAGGTTTGAACAGTTCACACTTTTTGGCTGTAAGTTTTACCCCATGTTTTTGATATCTCTGTAATACTGCTCTTACATGTTCAATGTGGTCCTGAAATGACTTGCTATGGACCAAGTTGTCATCAAGATAAGGTAAACAAATATCATCACGTAGGCCCCACAAACACTCTTCCATGCTCCTCTGAAATTCTGCCGGGGCAGAGCTAAGACCAAAAGGGATCCTAACCCACTGGTATAAACCCCAGGGGGTAATGAACGCAGTGAGTGGCTGGCTCTCCTCATCTAAAAACCCCTGATGATAAGCCTTCCCCTGATCTAATACGGTAAACCAAGAGCTACCCGTAAGGCTGTCAAGCATATCCTGTATCCTAGGAATAGGATGTCTGTCAGGCACTGACTTACGATTTAGTTCACGATAGTCCACGCAGAGTCTTAACTCGCCTGACTTTTTTCCTTACACACACTATGGGGGACGAATAAGGTGATTTTGACTTTGTGACCCACCCTCTATTTATTAAATCCTGCAGGTATGCTTTGACCTCTTGGTGCAATGG